TATTATATTATATTATATTATATTATATTATATTATATTTTTACAGGTTTATTATACTATATTCAAATTTAATTCATTGTATTATTTTTTTATTTGTTTTTTTATTCTGTTCTGCTCTGTTCTATTGTGCTTTAATCTATAAAAAAAATTTCTTTTATTCTGCTTCAGTGTATTCTTTTTTTAATTCTGTTCTGTTCAGCTCTGTTTTATTTAAATAATTTCTAACGTACTCTTCTATTCCATTGTGCTTGTATTGATTCTGTTCTATTCTGCTCTAATGTATTCTATTCATATTGTGCTTTAATCTATACCATTTTATTCTCTTCTGTTCTGCTCGAATTTGTTATTTTTATTTCATTCTACTCTTCTGTTCTATTGTGCTTTAATTTATAATTTTTTCTCTTCTATTCTGCATCACATTTATTCTATTCATTTAATTTTATTCTGTTTTCTTTTACTGTAGTTGAATCTGCTACAATTTTTTTCTATTAATTTTTTAAAAATGGTTCTGCTCTGTTATATTGTAATCTGTTTAATTTTACTTTTCTGCTTTCATTTATTCTGTTCAGTTCAGTTGTATTTTACGTTTCTACAGCAGAGAAAGAGCAGAATCTCCTTACTCTCGCGTGCAGACCTGAGCTGCATTTAAGGAGAATGTGGAATGAGGGCTAAACCAAACCTCGCTCAGATGTTTAATTAGGCGCTTTAGACACACATGATGTGTGTTAAACTGTAATTAAGACGCAGATATGAACGTCTGTGCTTCGGGCCTCAGGGTGTGGTGCTGTTTAACGTGGGCCGACCTGACGAGGGTTTGCAGAGATTTTATTCCCAGAAACCCCAAAACCACAACCACCCAGTGAAATTTAACTATGACAAAGCGTGCATGCATGCATGAATGCTGAGATTTCAGTGGTGTTTGAATATTATTTGTGTGTCTGTGTCAGGTGGTGAGTCGTGTCGCAGGTCAGCAGGGTTTTGACATGGATCTGGGGTATCGGCTGCTGGCCGTTTGTGCTGCAAACAGGGACAAATTCACCCCTAAATCAGCAGGTGAGACCCCACCGTCCTCTACGATTGCCTCGACACCCTTTTTGAGGCTTATTTAACTGCAAAGCGTGACATTAGAGTCCATATGAGCTGAAATGGTGCTTTTGGACCTGCTGCTCAACTGAGAGAAACTAAGCAGAACGACGACATAACTAACTAGTTTACTACATCAGTTCCCACAAAGAAGCACAGCACATCATGGTCTGTTTTTGAGTCTTGTAGTTTTGAGAACATGTTTTAACTTCCATAATTTAAGTGTCATTTAAGACAGTCTTTATCAGTGTTATTTTAACATCATTGAGATACTCTTACGGTTTTTAGTAATAGTTTAAATCAGTTTTAATTTTACAATTTTTATTTTAACTAAATTGTTTTTAAAAAGTAACATTAACTAATAGAAATGAAAGAATGAAAGTTTTAGTAATTTTGTTGTTTTTGTCATTTTTAGTTAGTTTTTTATATTTGTCTATGCAGGTTTTATTAATTTTTATTTTTACTTTTGATTTAAAATGAAAAATTACATTTTAAATAAAAAGTTAAAATAAAAATTAATAAAAACTGTATAGACAAATATACAAACTAACTAAAAATGACAAAAACACAACAAAATTACTATATTTTTTATATATTTATTATTTTTTTATTTAAAAAATAAATGACATTTTAACTTTTATTTTATTTTATTTTAACTAAATTAAAATAATTAAACAACTTGCTGAAAGTAGGTGAAATATTGTTTTATATATATATGTTTTTATATATATTTTATTTCATTGTTTTCATTTCAAGTCACACATTTTTATTTATTTATTTATTTTTATGGTTTCAAGTTTATTTTTAGCTTTAGTTAACTATAATAATCCTATGCCATCAAGAGCTTTGGTGTAACACTTCATATATAATGAATAAAATTCAGTGTAATTAATTCATACATATTATGTTTGTAAATAAGTTCTGAGAAAATAAATTTGTATGCTATGCCTATGTATGATATACTAAGGTATTCGATAACTGATTTTGCGTCACATTGTGGTTCTTCATGGGCGCTTAAGTGTAGACAGAATTGTTGATTATAATTAAGCATCTATAATAATCATCTATAATTCAATATCTAGTTTTGTGTTTGGAGTTGTTTTGAAATATTTAATGAGGACTTTATCTCATTGTGTTGATGGAAACAGGTATCCAACAATTTGTGGGTCACTTCAGCTAATTAATTCAAAATGTTAAAGGGGTCATATGATGCTGCTAAAAAGAACATTA